AAATTCAAATGTTGACATTTTTGGGAGTCACAAATTGGTCACTAAAATTATGTCGAAGAATTTTTATAATTCTGCCCATTTTTATGAAAAGCCTTTTCAAATTATCGATTAAAATCATTTTTGTGCATTTTTCAATTTTTTGTTCATAATATGTCCATCAGATGTCGTATCGAAAATCTAAAGTCATATTTGTGAGTCACAAATTAATCACTAAAATTCTGCATCATTATATTTTTATTTTTTGCTTTTATTCGAAATTTCACTAAGAGACTTTTCGGCCAATAGGCCTAAATAAAAAAATGGCCAAAATTGGCCGAAGGTCTATTCCATGGGCCGAAATTTTGGTGTCACAAATTATCACAAATTAGTCACTGAATCCCTAAAAAGGTTTCAAGGCAATCGCAAAAATTTGCCAGGCTGGATAGGGGGGGCCCATTTTTAGAATATGGGCGAATATGAGATAATAATGAATGGTGTTGAATTTTTGGCACTGCAGACTGTCAGCAATACAGTTGGGCATTTTCGGTATCTTATTATTCATCTTATTATCTTATCATTCTAATAAGATCAAACTATATTATTACTTATTACTTTTTTGCACTAATAAGTATAGTAATAAGTATAGTTATTAGAATGTTACTAGTCAGAAGACTAATAAGATGCATGAATCTTATTAGTATAGTTTCTCACCATCTTTCGATTGGTGTTACTAGAAGCAAATAGTACTGAAACACGAAAAACAGCAGAAAGGCACTCAAAATCACAAAAAAACTCCCGGTCGATTTTTCTCGCATTTCCGATGGGAAATCGGCAAAAACAAGCAAATACTTTTTGGCCTAAAATCAAAATCCGGTGGAATTTGGCTGATTGGTGGACTTTCAGGATTTGGCCTGGTTTCCAGAACTTCCAAATGTAATTCCTGTATAAAATTACTCGAATAATATATGTATATGGAATTACATTTTGGAAGTTCTAGAAACCAGAAAACCCATTGGAAATGCGAGAAAAATCGACCGGAACTTTTTTTGTGATTTTGACTGCCTTACTGCTGTTTTTCGTGTTTCAGTAGTATTTGCTTCTAGTAACACCAATCGAAATATACTGATGAGAAACTATACTAATAACTATACTAATAAGATACATGCATCTTATTAGTCTTCTGACTAGTAACATTCTAATAACTATACTTATTACTATACTTATTACCAGCGTTCTCAACGGCGGCCATTTTTCGATTCCGACGCCGATCCGACGCCGAGGATATTCAATCCGAGGCCGACCGATCTCCGAATATCTCGGATCGGATCGGATCGGTGGTCGGTCGTGGTCGGTGCTCGGAGTTCGGAAAAATTTAATGAAATGATTTTGACAAGAAGAAGAAATCGATTGAATACAGCGCACATCGAACAATTGTTATTTTTGAATAGAAATTTAAAATGATCTAAATTTTTAAAAACGAATGAATGAGATAAATTGACGATTAATAAAAATGGGTACAAAAGAAAAATTAATTCAATTTAAAAAAAATATTGGTTTTAATTTTGTGAGCATCCGATCAATATCCGAAAACCGAATTCCGAAAAAAAATCCGATGGAAAACTCGTTCCGACGCCGACCGAACTCCGAGTATTTTCGGTTCGGATCGGATCGGCGGTCGGTCGGCGGTCGGACCTCGGTCGGATTTGCGAACCCTGCTTATTACACTAATAAGATGACATCTTATTACCAGTTATTAGAAATTATTAGTAATAAGTAATAACTATCTTACTAGTCTGATGTTATTAGTCCCAACTGTAGTCAGCAACTGCATTAGCGACATTAAAATATTTATAATAGGTGAATTATTGTGACAGCTTCTAAGCTGTCATGGTAGTTGCTTGTTACATGTGTGTAAGTTTTTGCATTACAAAGCAAAATTGAAATGTGCCATTTGCAATGGAACGGTTCTGGCGTTTGATACTCACTTTTTTAATATTGATTTGTTCTGATTAGCTATTTGTTCAATCTCTTTTATACTTTGTTCATTTAAATTACTTAATGACGCTCTATCGATTGCACAGACAGCTAAAATATCTTTAATAATTTTTGGAATTTTATATTCGTAGAAGTTTTGATACTCACGCCAGAACCGTTCTTATTGACACAGCAACCGTTGTTGTTGAATGTGAGCATTCAAATATTAACCTCACTTTTGACGTTAGCTATGTACAAATGCCGTATAAGGCATCAATCTCTGCAACTTCACGCAATTGAAATGAATTTCAATTCATTTCCCAATTTGGATGTAAATGGTAATTGAAAATTCAATTCAATGAATTGAAAAAAATAAATTGAAAATTTCAATTTACATTAACTAATGGTAATTGATTTTAAAATAAATGAATTGTAAAAAGTAATCATTATTTCAAACACTGGTCTTGACAACCCCGCATAGAGCGGAATCCCGATTGATTTTCATCCAGAAGCTGTTCAACAATAGCTCTAGTTCGTTTTTCCAAAATTGAACTATAAACTTTTCCGACAACACTCAATAGAGAAATTCCACGATAATTATTGCAGTCTTTATTACTGCCTTTCTTATGAAGACCCAAGTCAGTATAATACTCTTTTCGAAGAGTGTACACGCTCTTCTCACACTCTTCGTATAGTTTTATTCGACTCACTTCTCACACTCTTCTCACACTTTTGCATAGAACACGTATATTGTTTTTAACTGAGCTTTAATTTTTTTCTCTAAAAAATTTTCTTTTTTTTTTCTTTATAATAAATTTTTCCACTGATGGATAATTTTTGATTTTGTTAATTTTTGACATTTTGAAAAAAATGAACGTATACAAAAAAAAATGAATTAGATGTTGCAACAGCAATTGTTGTTCACAGCTGACGAATGCTATAAACGTTCAAATATCAAAATACAAACATTACTTCCACTGGAATGCAGTGACAGCAGTGATAGCATTACCAATACCATTACACACTCTCTTCTCACTCAATATACTTGTTTCATGCAAAAGTGTGAGAAGAGAGTGTACACTCTTCGAAAAGAGTATTATACTGACTTGGGAATGAGCTGAAACTTTGCAAGTGTTTGTATGAAAAGTGCTTCGAAAATAATATGTATCGTAAAACTAATGTCAGATTTAGTTTTCTCGTGAATTCTTTGAGTAAAAGATTTGTAATAAATGCATGTTGTGGATCACAGTGCGGAAAAGTTCATCTTACGGATGTAAGACATTTTATTTCGACACACTTTTCATACAAAAGTTTCAAAAAAATTGAAATTTTGTATGGGAGCCATGCCTGTATGATATCGTAATGAGCTGAAACTTTGCACAGGTTTTTTTTCACACAAAAATAACATTCTGGGAGTTTTAAGAGATTTCAATGCATAATGGGGGTACCTCCAGAACAAATTTTGGATTTTTTGCTCAAAAACGAAAATTTTGTATGGAAGGTACCACTCAATTGTTTTGAAATTTCTTCAAACTTTCAGAATGTTAGTTTTTTGTGAAAAAAATAAAATCTGCAAATTTTCACATGATTACGATATCATACAGGCATTAAAATTCTATCCAAATTATTTGTATCGCAAAATTTATATCAGATTCATTCCTAGCTTCTGGAGTTGGCGATCCAGGGGGGGGGATGGTGTAATTTCAAAATTTTCCAAAAATGCATTTTTGAATAGTTCATTCCTAGGGGGGGTGTCTCAGAGCATTTGCCTCAAAAAACCATAGCAAATTGAAAGATTTTTCTCTTCGCCCAGAAACCCTAGCAAATTGAAAGAATATTTTTCTCAAAAAAATTAAATTTTCCAAGGGGGTAATTCTCAAATCTCTTCCCCAGGGGGGTAATCCAACCCCTCGGACCCCTGCTCAGAAGCTATGTATTCAGTTTTCTCATGAATTCATATTTACGGTAAAAGATACGTAATAAATGCATGTTGTGGATCACAGTGCGGAAAAGTTCTTCTTACGGATGTAAGACATTTTATTTTTTATTATAACGATGATCTTATTTAGATTATGTTTCCAGACATTATTTTAACTATTTATGATCACATTATATTTAATAAAAATTACACACAACTTTTTCAGAGTAATTTAATTTTGTATAATGAATATATATGTATGTAATTGCGTATAATGTACGACAATATTTTGTCCATGTGTTTTATTTCTGAATTCATTCTAAATAGGATGTATTTGTATACATTCAACTTACCATCATCTATGTCATCAGCTTCATCGTCTAAAGATGGCAAAATATCTTCTGGTGGCATAACCGGTAAATCAGTCTTTTTCACTTTCATCGATTCTATTTTCAAGACACAAAAAAAATCATAATCCAAAAAAATCAATTAGTTCATAAATATAAATTTAAGCACTAAAATTTGAAAAATGTCACGAATTAAAAGGGTTGAGCTATATTTTTTCATATTCATAAAAGTACACATATCAGTATATACTTTTAAGTTCTAAAAAAGTGCTTTGTTTCGTTTATACTATAGCCACTGAACCACAATGAGAAAAGACACACATTTTTAGCTTGAACAAATATAAAATTAAATACAGGCCATGTGAAGAAAATACGAGGTTGAGAGTATCAGAGGCTTTTAAATAATATAAGCGTATAAAAGAGTCATTCTATTACTACGATGAGTACTAGTGAGGCAACTGTCATACAGCAGTGCTGCCATGAAAAAGAAACACGTCACTTCGTAAATCAGAGTTGCGTTTTTCACACTGGAAGTGCGCGCACATAGTATACTTCGCACTCACAAACTGTGTACGACGCACACAATGCTTTTATTTTCAATGTGCACACACATTTACATAGAAGTTTGACAGTTGTCGAAAAATTCAAAACTTATATTTGAAATGTCACATTTCTATGTAAATGTGTGTGCACATTGAAAATAAAAGCATTGTGTGCGTCGCACACAGTTTGTGAATGCGATGTTTACTATGTGCATGCACCTCCAGTGTGAAAAATGCAACTCTGTCGTAAACCAATATGCTGGGGCAAGTTTTTCTGAACAATCTGTCATACTGATTGGCGTTAAAGGGCACATTCTTAAAAAATTCATTAGTTTGAGATTCAGTTTCTTTTCAAAAAAGTATTCAACTCTCTATTAGTTTTAACCTTTTGTTTGCTTGAGTGACTATACTCCAATCTGAACCAGAACCTCTGGTCTTAAAACTTTTTGGATCGGTCATATGAATGAATTCATAATGAATCAAACGATGTTTATACACTTAGTGGTGCAAAATTATTAAAAATTAACTCACCTTTAAAATGTTTTGGACAGCAAACAAATTCAACACCCGAGAACAATGAAATTCCACATGGCAATAGCATAGCAAAACTACGCATTTGCATTCCACGATCTTGGCAAGCAGCGGCACCAGTTTGATTCCATGCTGGGTAAATATCAATAAAAAATTTCATATCATGTACTGTTCTTCTTTATATGAGGTTTTCTAGGGGGATTCCGCGCTCTTAAATATGAATAAATATGAACAAATTCGGGGGATTTCAAGAAATTCAAGAGATGTTAACACAACTTTACATTTTTTGGGAGATATTTTGAGATTTTCTGAACTGCAATACCGACAATGTTGAACTTGACAAGAACAGGGAATGAAGAAGTGGTGAATTATTATGACAGCTTCTAAGCTGTCATGGTAGTTGTTTGTTACATGTGTGTAAG